AGACACTCCGGCGTGAGCCACTAGCCGCGTTCATGGGCCCACCACCGAATGGTTTGACTCGAGATGAATTCAATATCTCGAGCGAATTGCTGAACAGGTTATCGATGGTAACTTTCGCAGCATTATTGCATTTCTTAAAAGTTTGAATAGGAGTCGATGCTAACCATTTGAATCGATCTACTACGGACGCGCGGAGGCCATGGACGACATGGAAGTTGGCATGTGATGCCAAAACGAGGATGTTATGTGTATCATTTCGACTGCATTTTTTAATTGAGTTCAATTTTTAATTTGAGTTATTCTATTTTCATGGGGCACACGACACAATTCATCGGGCAGATGGCCAATTGCTTGGGCACACGGCTAATTATATCGGGCACACCGCCAAATATATCGGGCACACGACCTCGGTGTGCCAAATTAAACGGGCACATGGCTAATTATATCGGGCACACCACCAAATATATCGGGTGCACGGCCAAATACATCGGGCATTCGTCCAACTTAACTGCAAAAAGGTGTACTTGTGGTACTCACAACATGATGCTTACCCACAACGACCTTGATCTGGTCTTCACGCTCGCCAAGACCAAGCGACAACGCCGTTTAGTGGCTGCACTGGCATTCTCTCTGGTTGTCGAGCGCCCACTCATACCTAACATTCGATTTAACATCGACTTGATGTCCGACACGAATGCAGTGCTCGAGTTTCGTTTTGACGTTGGCAGTGTGCAGAAGTGGCCTTCCTCTTGGATCTCCCAGCAGTGGTCATAACTCCTAATCGAAATCGTGTGGTACGTGACGAAGCCATGTGCATTGTGCTGTCACGTTTGGCGTTTCCCACACGTTTCTTCGACATGTCCAAAACGTTTGGTCGTTCACGCTCAGTGCTCTGCGACGTTTTCCTGCACGTCCTGAACCAAATCTACAGCCGTTGGAACATGTTACTGTACTTCAACTACAAGCTCGTGAGCCGTAACATCGATGACAACTGTGCTAAAATCGCCCGCAAGGGGTTACCATCACAGAACATGTTTGGGTTCATTGATGGAACCAAAGTCCAAGTTTACCGGATTTCAGCGACCATGAACTGAAGACGCCACGACACCACGATGCTTCGCTACAATGGCTTGTTGGCTTACCTCGAGGCGCACTATGGTTTGTTTTGGCGCAAGTGTATTTATGGCGACCCCGCGTATGGCGTGTCCAAGTTTTTGCTTTCTGGTTACAAGGGCAACGGATTGACCAACGCTCAAAGGGACTCCAACAAGTGGATGAGTCGCTTGCGCCAATCAGTGGAGTGGAACTTCAAAGCTATGAAGACACTTTGGGCGTTTATTACGTGCAAGGGGTTGTCGAAGATACGTTTATCCTCAGTGGCCAAAGTCATGTGTGTGGCCATGCTATTGACAAATTGTCATTGTTGCTACTTTGGAGGAAATAAAATCAGCAAATTCTTCAAGTTGGATCCACCAAGCTTGGAGTCGTATTTGGACACCTTATACATAATTGACGTTTAATCCAAACAATTATTCATATGCAAGTGTAATTACTTAGATTTATTCATCGATGCAATCATGTTCATCATCATCTCAAGATACCTGCGTAATTGAGTTGCCTGACTTTCTCGGTCACATCGAAGTTGCTCTGCTTGTAACTCTCGTTCTATACGTCGCTCTTCATATTCGCGGGATCGCACAGCTTCACGCTCTTCTTGGTCTTTTTCGTACTGGTACTTACGAAACTCCAGGTCAGCGTTGTTGTCGTCATGCATCATCTTCATCATCTTGGCTAAAGTGCCTCCGTTGTTGCCGCCGCCGGCATCACCGTCGACTTGGTCGATCTTCTTGCGTTTGCCCAATGACTGCATCGCTTCTTCACGAATCGTTGCCCCAATCGTCTCGACTCGCTCCGCCTCATGCGTAACATCTTCCAGGCGCAACTTGTCACGCTTCTTCCAGTCGTCGTAAACGGAAGACAACTCGTCCAGCAGTTGTGACTTCTCACTGTAGTCTTCGGCGACGCCTGATGCTCTCATGTACTCGTCGTCGCGAATTCGGTGCCCCTCAAGGAGCAAGGTGAAGCGGTTTTGGGTCCTCTTGGCGTCGAAACCAGGCCGCGAGAACTCTTCTTGTGAAGCAACGGTCTCCGCCACAGCTGCCCAGCCCACCATCACAACACCTCATTTGGCCATCAATGGCAGGCGAGTGTTCACCTCACGCAGAATCAATACGTCTTCGTACTCGGAGAAGCGGCTCTTGACGGGGGTCGACATTGCCAACCACTGATACGATGGGACTAGCTGTGAGGATACTGGTAGGTTGCCACTACAAATGGCCTTTGTCAGGGTGGCAGCATAATGTATGGAGAGGTTCTTAATATGATTTGAGAGGTATGAGTGGGTTTTGTCAAACACATGATTCTTCCGTGGCGTGGGAGTGGCGGGATGATTTGCAAAACCTCTCTAATATCATCGCCATCACCATCAACACTACAGTATTGATAATGTCGCACTCAAGGTCAATTGTATCCTCAATGGTGGAAGTTGCATCAACTCCGCCAGGACCACATCGTCATCCACACCACCAGGTGCATCCTCGTCGACAGGTACGCCATCAACAAGCCAGCACTTTCGAAATCCGCTCACAATTGTAGTCTGAGCAAGTCCGACCACGCCTTCGCGATCCAGCCCACGATAGTCGCCCGCGATCGTGATTGCAGCTTGAAAGGTACGCCTCATTGTCTTGCGTTCCTCAACCGACATCAAATCAGGTCCAGCACTTTAGACGTAGGCGCGGCTTGAGCGGAAGGGTTCCACACCACACACGCAGGTTGACATATCCATGTATATCGTGGAGGGACACGCTCCAAACCTACATTGATCTCATTTGCGTAGGCAACAACGTCATCAGTGAAGTGCGCCGAGAAGTCGTCCCAGAGAACGAGGACTTTCTTTGTAGACCGGCCAGGTCGCCGGTCAATATGGTACTACAGCAAGTCCTATGCCCAATGGGTTTCCATAGATCCGGTAGTCATTGTGGTCTTACATGGGTTCAACGCTCTTCCGTACGGACTTGCCGAATCCATGTCGTAGCGTGAGGTTTTCCTGTACAATAGTCTTGACATTGGACGCCGCCGTTTTCATGACGAGAAACAATGGATATTTCTACCCCGCCCAGTCCGCCAACAGGATGGTGGTCACACATTCCTTCGTCTTCCCGCCGCACGTCACCCACATCGCCTTGTCGCCAGTCGTGTTCAAGGTCTTCGTCGGTAAGTACTCATAGTTGACGCCGGTTTGATCTGTATTGTAGATCAGTCGATGTCGTGCTCGTCAACAATGGCCTCGACCCGCGCCAATAACGTTTCCAGGACCAATTTGTGTCCGAGGTTGGAGGGACAAACCATATCAGCGTTTGAAGCCGTACACTCAATGCCAACCAGCGATAAACTCGTGCTCCTGGAAGCCCAATTTGATGGCAGATTCCAATGCCGTGATGCGGATGATGGCTTGCGTCCCGGGAACCCCGTCCTTGCGCATGTCCTGCACCCAGCGTGCAAACTGCTAATTGGCCTCCAACGTGAGCGTTGTGCCAGTACCAAAAGGGGGCGTCAACACTTTAAGTTTGCCGTGGTCAGACTGGATGCCCTGGTGCTGATGTGGTCGACGTTGGCTACCCAAGAGTGCACCTCCTTTCGCATCGTCTCACGCGCAGATACGGTCAAGCTGTCGTGAAACACATTGAGAGTCGCTTGCATACCACACGCATCGTAGTATTGAATGACACTGAGTCGCTCGCTCTACGAGACGTCTGTGTTCTTGTACTGCTTCAGCTTCTTCTTTGGGCCGTACTTGGACACTGGACGCCCCGTTGATGGTCGCCGCTGAGCTTGACCTTCCTAACTGGTTTGAAAGTGCACAGCAGTGTTCAATGCTCGCCGCGAGCAATTTTTGCGCCTAAGCCTTCTATACTAGTTATCATGTTTGAGGATATTTATTAAGTATTAGAAGTATATGTTGGCGCCAAGGAAAACTTCCAAACCCCCTTATACAGTCCTGCTGGATTTTGTATAAACTTCAGTACATTGGTGTCTGACTCATGGTGGTTCTCCGACTGGTATTACGTAAGACGGTAGTGGATAATCTTGATATTGATATTACGCTGTAAAGTTACAATCACTCAGCGGGCACTTAATGGCCTCGGCCGCGTACTAGATGGTTTTCATCTAGCGGACGTAACGGGGGGGACGTCCACTGCGGAGTCGTTGTTGACACTTGTTGTGGTACGTCAACTAGTACGGGCACTAATGACGAGTGAGCCCAATGATTGGTTTCCGCGGAGGGTGAATTGGTGGGACGCGTTGACCAGTGTTCCAGGTGTTCTGAAAGAGTAGAAAGCCCAATTCGGTGGGGCATGTGCGCTACATACGAGTGAGGTAGCCGTGGGGCGGAGATCTTGGGGAAGGAGGCGACACATTCGGACGCAGATTTGCAGATTTTGGGGGGTTAATTGTCGATTAACGTTGAGCAACTTTGTTGGGCAACTTTGATGGTCAACGGAGCCGGATGGAGAATCGCGGTCTTGACTGTGTACGGCTGGGGGATGACCCAATGACGCATTTGGTACGGAAATTTCTTGCGTCGTGTCAGCACCGGTGCTGTTATGATTGCTCTTAATGAGGGCTCGTGTTGAGAGGGAACTTTGAGTGCTGGCGTGTTTGTAATTGAAGGCCGGGTTTGTTGACGCAGCAGTAGGGTGCTGGTTTGACAGATCCTTTGGTGGGCGAAAATAAACTCGGAGGATGTGGCTCTGCGTGGCTGCGTAGCTGTATCACCCAGGTTGGGTTCAACTAATGGAATTGGCGTCATTGTTGGCCCAGGCGGTGGGCATGACGGTAGCGTCGATTTGGATGACTTTCTTGGACGTCGTGGTTCGTCTGGTGACGTGAACAGGAAATGACGTGAACAGGAAACGACCTGAGGTAGCAGTGTATGGCGGTGGAAGGGATGATGCTGGGATGTGATGGTCTGCGGGTGATGCATGGAAACGTGCAAACTATTCAGCAGTGTGACATGAGCCGGATGTGGGAGTGGCTATGGGTTTAACCTTGGGAGTGGGTGCGACCTTGGATGTGGGTGCAACTTTGGGGGGCCCATGATCTTTTGCCCAAGTGGGGCACCGGGTCTCGAAAGGACTGGTCCAGGAGTAGCGTGATCTCAGTGCAATTTGTCCCTGCGGGGTCTTGGTAGCCTTGTTGTGATGGAGACTAGAGTAGTAAAGCCCCCAGTGGAGGTAGGATAGACGAGGAAAACAGCAACGCGGTTATGCTATCCATGTGGCTTCGGTGATATTCCCAGCGGCTGAGCTCGTCGTCCATTACAAGATGGTCCCGTGGGAAGAATTGGAGGTGCGCGATGAAGCTGGTGTGGCCGGTGCACGGCGTGGCCATGATGGGGTGTTCCATGATGGTGGGATATACGGCGAGATGAGTGAACGCCGTGCTTGCGCGCGAATCGGGTGCTTCCGTTGTGCTCAAAACTATCTCGGGGCGCCGTGATCCACTTGTGGGTTACCAAGTATATTTGGGAATAGTGGATAGTTTTGGTAGTTAGTCGTAGGTTGTATGTAGTAGGTCTTGGAACTCGTGTTTGCTGGTAGCGGAAGGTCTTAGTAGGTATTGCATGTGAGGTCGACTACCCCGTCAACAGCGGTCAAGGCATCAAACAATCCTTGGCTGGGTACACACAACGAAAGAGAGTCCACTTCTTTGACTGGGGCATTGATGGAATCTGTACGTTTGAATATGTCTGAAAACATGAACGGCCAAGTGTCCAACTTCGTGATTGGTGCTCGAATAACGTTGAAACAATTGAGCCGGCAAGCTGAAAATTCACCCCCATTGATCGCCCCCGTCAAGGTTAAGTTCGCCTCGCCTAGTGGCCTGTTTTCTTTGAAGTACAGCTTTTACATTGAGTGCAGTATACCCTCAAATGAAACATGAAGGCATTCATGTGTTCGCATCACAGTATCCATCTATCGACAACTATCATGAGGGATTGTAAGGTGACCGGACGGAGTACAATTTATTCGCTGTAAAAGTAAAAAAACCCACCACTGACAAGTTACTAGGGGTTATGCGCATTGTGGGGGCTAGCGAACTAACCACTGGTGATGTAGTGTCGATTTATGAAGACTGAAATATCGAGTTTGGTCATGTTGACGAGTAGCGTCGCAACCGCGAATAGCGCTACAACTACGACTACGATGGTCGTTACCACCGGTGTTTTCACCGCGACTGCGCCGGTCGTCATGGACCGGGTACAGTTCCGGAGGAGTCAAACAGTGGTACTCGTCGAAAGGATCGTTGAGCCGATCGCGCTATGGGCGATCACCTCACCGCGAAACGGACTTTCGTCGCGTTGGTCGTAGTGGTCCGAGGATGCACCGCGTTGTTGCCCCCTTGGGCGTGGTCGCGGCTCGATTGGCCGCCTTGGGTGAGGCGGTAATTAAGTGCGTCAAGAAACTAATCGAAATCAACTTGCTGTGTGGCGAATTGACCTCCGATTGCCGCGTGGGTGATTGGTGGGTCCTTTCGATGGGGTGGAAGTTGTCCAGATTGGATCGTGGCGACCCATCCAAGTGGGAAGAAGAAGTCTCGTCGAACGGCATGCGCGCGAGAGATTCGTGCAATCCCCCGTACTATGACCTTCGTGTTCGCAGTAGTCACAATAGTCTGGATTGAACAGCCGTGATAGGTCGACTCCAAGAGGCGTAAACCACTGCATCGATTTGTGTGCACTTGGCCCGAACCATAGACCTATACGGTCGATGCCGTCGGCTTTGGACCCAAGAAGTCGTGGTACAGTTTCGTCAACTCGTACCAATGCTGTGGCAAAAACTCGCGCAGCTGGGTGTCCGGAATGCTCGGTCGAGCACCGGGCCACACCTGCACATCGTGTTCAATGCAGTCGGGCAATGACGACAGGGACACTGAAGCGAGATGGCTGTCGGTGAGAGTCGTGCTCTCGCGTATCTCCACGGTCTTGTGCAGCTTGTCGAACTGCGAAAAGCTGTCATAGTGTCACTGTGAACTTGGTCTACACGTCCACGTCGGACGCAAACTTCTTCTCTTCGCTGCTAAACCTTGCCGCGGAGCCACTCAATAATACAATTCGCACAATTGACGAGATTTTCCGGTGGACTGGATCCGAGGAAAACGCGTACACTAACGCGATCGATCTCTCAACGTCCGCATGTTCGGACTTGACAAGTCACTTAGCGCGGCTTTGGCCGCGCGAGCCTCCACTAACTTTGCCGAAAGATGTTCGGCTAAATACTCCGTGATCGGGTCGATCAATTTTAGAGCCACCGGATCCAGTGCCGCTGGTGGTAGTGGGGTTCCGACGATGGTCGTCGGACTAGATCGTCGGAATGTCGACAAAGTTTATTGACGTCACCGTCAAATTAGCGGAATGGCCGAGTTAGTTCCTTGATGGACCAATTCGATTCAATGCCGGTGCATTGAGTAGCCTGAGACGTCAGTCCCTCGCCTTGGAAGATGATAGTGGTCAACTCGAAGTTCCACTGGTTGAAACTGTCTAGTCCATGTAGGTGGTGAACGACAGATAGGATAGGGCTCGATGCCGCCGCTGAGGTGGTGGTGCACCAGTGGACCGGTGCAGGGGTGCCGGGGTGAACGAGTGAGTGGCAGCGATGAAAACTGGAAGTGAATTAGCTTAGATGCGTGGGAGACCAACTCACAGTTAAAACTAGCCAATCAGAGGACGACATATGATAATGTCACAGATGTGGCTGTCTGTCGACTACTCGAGGAAAAGTCTCTAACAGGCTCAAATACCCCCTACACGGCTTCAGCCCATGATGCTACCTGACGTTCAGGGAAGTTGTGATATTCATGGTAGAACAGGTCGTTCTGACTGATTGAGTGAAATGGGCATTAAGCAGGCAGGAGCAGACTAGTGTGCAGCAGAAGGGAGTACTAGGAGTGAATTACTTCTGACTGCAAAGAAACAGCTAATCAAAACTAGACTATGATTGACCACGACCTCCTATGATGTTCCGTGAGTGATGGCTTGCCGAGAGATGGGAAATGCAAACAATTTCGAATGACGCCGCAATATCCGTAGCTTATCATGACTTGGATGGCCCAGTTGATAGTGTCATTGCATGGTGCCCTGTGCACCGACTGCGTCACGAGGACAGTCGATGTGGGGTCGTCGATGCGCGGTGAAAACTGCGTCGCGATGACATACAACCCGGTGTCTTCGTCGTAGGTTGTGGTGAACTTGCCGTCGCAGGTGGATAGAGTCGACTCGTGTGGAGTGATGGAGAAATTTTTATGTCGATCCATGTGCAGTCCACGACCCACAGAAAATAATGTGAAATTCAAATCTGACATATGATATACATCCAGCAGATAAACAACTAATGTGTAGTTCGTTGGTGCCAGCGACCTCGAGTCGTACTGTGCCGCATCCGATAACGTGGCGTTGGTGGCCGTCGGCTGCACCAGCAAGGAATGAGAATGATTCTTAGATGATGAAACTCTCGCGATGAAAAGTAGAGTGCTTCGATGCACCGCTATCTACCGTCCAATGACGGGATCGACTTTGTTCTTTGGCAACCGAACTGGTTGGTGACACGCGAAGTGCCCATCCAGTACCCATAAATACAAGTGATCACGATATGGTAGTATCGAGCAAATCATAATACGGACTGAAGTCCTGTAATAATGTCGAAAATACCTTGGATATACTTGACTTGTCGGTCGACTTTTGTAGTCCCATAAATGAAACATAAGAATGCTGTTCATCTAAAATATATGAGGCATAAATGCCGACATGAGTATGTGAAGACATGGATAAGGAGTCTGGTCACGTTGACGTGTGTTCTGTGACACTAACCGTAACAAACGGGTAGAGCCGCGCTGGGCGTTTGGTCCCGGTGGGGCGTAGCCCTGGTCGACGGGCGGCGCGCTGTGGCTGCGGTGGCGCCGGTCGTCTTGGTTGGCGCCGCCGTTTTCGTGGTAGTCACGGTACCAGTCGCCTGGGCGACTGCAGTAGCGGGAGGCCGACTGACGATAAGGGGCACGGCCCCGTTGGTCGTCACGATAGCCGCCATAGTTGGAACTGGCGTAGCCGGAATGACCGCCTTGCCACATGCTTGCGTAGCCTGGACGGCCGCAGGGAGCGTAGCCTCATGGCTGCTTGAAGCATAACCAGGTGGGCCGCTTGTTGCATTACCCGGTGAGCCCCTTGTTGCGTGACCGGGTGGGTCGCTTGATACGTAGCCGTGCTGTTGAGGAACCACTACCACGGCCACTGCCTTTGTCGAGGCGTTTGCCACCGTGGCAGCCGCTTGGTCCGCCTTGAGTGCGTCGCCCGCCACCACTTAGTGGTAATTCGCAAGGTGAGATGGCAGCGCATCTTGGCGGGAACACGAAGTCTTGACGCACCTCGTACTGGTGGAACGCACGGGAAAGCTTCGTGCAGATGTACGTCGAGTGACTGACTGAGGTCAGGCAGTAGCCGCACCAATCCGCGATGGGTCGTAGTTTCCCCAGGGTACGGCGGCCACTTGCCCGTAGCCGTCTCGCTGGCTTCCGCCATCGTGAAAGGTCGGAAGAGCCATGCGCTGGAGGCAGCTGTGGCGATCGGCACCGGGCCGAGGCAGTGCGGGTACTTGGTGACCAAGCCCGGTCAGTGTTTCTCGAGCACTGGCGTATGTTCGTCTATTGGATGCTCGGCTGACCGCCGCGCCATTCGGGCTATGCACTCGGGTTGTGCCGGTGTATACCCACATCCGTTTTGGGAACTGCCATAAGCACTTGGGTGGGGTCAAACTCGCCCACCGTCTGCATTCCACGCAGGTTCTTTAGAATGGTAGCTTGGAAGGGTATGGTTCCCGCCTTGGGCTCAGTTAGCGAGTTCACAAAGCTGTAGTCGTTGGTCAGCCGGTAGTTCTGGTTTCAGGACTGGGTTCACTGGGCTACACCACGCACACTGTTGGGTGCTCCTGATCACGCCCACTCGGCTTGTTCGAGTGCTACCGCTTGAGGTACCTCTCCTCAAGGAGGTTGTGCTTCCTTTGACAGGTAAAGAGCACGGCAAAATCACCGTCAGAAGCTTCGCCTTCACCGCTGGGTCTGATCGTCGAACTTGATTCGCTGGATGTTATGCTTTCTCAGCACATCGCACGTACACTTAAGACGTTCTATTGGAAATACGATATTAACAGCGCCGTCGATCATGCCTTGCAGGGCTTGCCACGACTCCAAGAGGGTCGACACTGAGCGCCAGGAATATGTATGCATGACCGACTTGGTAGGTATCCACTTGGTCGCCGGTTGCCCCACGATCTATGAGGCCTTCAGAAGTCTGCCGTCAGTGGACGGGGCCATGGGCAAGATCTCGTTGGAGTACGTTGAGCAACACACCAACATCAACTTGTTGATGGGCGGATCGACCGCCACGACTGCCTTGTGGACGATTGGACCACAGCGACGCGTAGACTAACGCAATTATTCTTTCTACATCCGTATGCATAGTCGGGATCATTTGCTCTGGCGTGGCTTTCACTGCGCGAGCTTCAAAGAACATGATTGAACAATGTTCGGCCAAGCATTTCATCATGGAATCAATGAGGGGAGGGGTCACAACATCTCAGACTAGGGGTGGAAGTAGTGGCTACGTTGATGGTTAATGAACTTTATTGTAGATCTGCCGACGTAGTTTCTAGGTATCGGCGTCAAGAAAGTTAAATACACTCGCGAGTCCTTTGATAGGACACTTGGTCTCGACGCCACGGGATTGCGTCGCCTGAGAGGTCAGGCCAACTCCTTGGAGGACTGACTTACTGTTGTCAAACCAAAGAGTCTCTGGTCAAAGGTGTCAAGTCCTTCGTGGACTTGACACCAGAGAAGGTTGGGTGAGGTATCGCAGCAGATGATACAGTGGTTCTCATAACCAATGAAAGGCTGCAAAAGCCATGGGGAACACTGGGTGATTTCTGGTGAGACTGAAAGAGGATTAGCTTACTATCCACTGAGCAACCAGTGAGAACAACTGGATCTACAGGCACTTCAGACAACCTAATGACTGGCCAATCAGGACACGACATTCTAATGCTGTACCGTGGATATGGGCTGGTTATCTACTATGTGAGGAAAAGCCTCTAAAGGCACACAAACCTCCTACTACTGTAGCTGCAGCCAATGCTGCTACTAATGGTCCGGACAGTGGTGATGTTCATGACAGAGCAGGGTGTTCTAACTAGCTGGACGAAACCATGGACTTGTACTAGTAGGATACGTAATCAAGGATATTCTTATGTAAACACGACTTGCGTTTTACTCCTCGTCCTATAGGGTTAAATAATCCTAAAGGGTCATGTCGTTGCTTCGACGGGAACGTGGCTTGACCTTTCAGGCAGGTAAAATATTCAAAACAAGTTCTCACATACGTGTTCAATAACTATTGTTGATTGCTTCATGGTTCGTACAAACTACGCCAATGCATATGATTGGCTAATATCCACATCGCCTTTTCCATTGGATTGTAGTCAATCAGCGACAAATAATTTCGGATTGAATGATGCGACAGATTCACTGTCAGTAACGTAAACAATCATTGATTCGCCGAATTTTGATTGTGTTGTGTGGAGCATATCTCATGCAGTTTTTACAACTTGAACTTGGTAGTACAAGCTCTATAATCAAATCAAGCTCTCTACTTGGATTCAAACACACGTCAATTTAAATGTTTGGAATTGAAGTAATAAAATTGTAAAGATGTCCACTCCAAACAGTAAATCATAGATTTGCCGAAATTTAGACTTGATTAAAGTATTGCAAATGGGCTGAGCAAACGATACAAATATCTATTTATACAGTTACTATTCGTTTATAAAGTAATACATTATCATAGGTTTAACGTACCTCCAAATAAGGTTGAAACTCTATAACATAATTGCTGGAATATTATTAACTCACCAAGGATTTCATTGTTGCAGTCACTAGTTTTATCCAATCATATCAATTCTGACATTCTATTGGGCAAGAAGTTCGGCAAATCAATGATGCATCAGCAATCAATGATTGTTTACGTTATACGTATCCTGTGTGGTTAGGTTTTTTGGCGAAATATGTCGCGGCTGGGTGAAATATATTGACGAAACTGACATTAACAGTTGGTTGAATTATTCCGCTCGCTTGCTTGGTGAAATATGAACGTGACGTTTGAGGTTACCACGAAATTAAACGGCGGCAGCCGAAATATATCGGAGGCATGGTGAAATAAACTGCAAGCTAAGCAAAATATAGTGAAAAAAGCAGAAATTAACCGCAACAAGGTGTAGTACTTCGTAGAGTACTACAGTAATAACGTTAACGTGTTATTCACCTTTGACGACACTTTGATTAACAGAATACAGCGATTATCAGGGCACTGGGTAATGGGTAATTTGTTAGGGCTTGCTTACCTGTACCTTGCACTTTACCTTGTATGAATGCTGACCTTCCCCGTTACTTTTACCCTTTACCAGAGGATAAAGGTAATTTTTTACCTTACCTTGATGAATGAGGCCTACCCGTAGACGAGGCTAAATTATCGCCGACATATGGCTGCGGAATTGAAACTCTGTCAAATCAACAAAATGTGAGGTCTTGGTATTTATATTATTCGACAGAATTCAATTGGACTGTTTATTTTAAATACCTTGACGTAGCATGCATTTTAATAAAAACAACTCAGTTTTAATCTTCTACTTTGAAGAGGCCCAAATTGACATATTTTTTACTCCACCTATCGACCGTTCAGTAGAAAAGGTCATTCGTGTGCGGTGATGTGTAATTTCAAACACCACAACATCCTCCCTTCTGAAGAGATATTGTAGCCCGAGCCGCCGCTATCTTGGATAGAACAGATATCCATCACATGCCCATGATGCTTCGACTAGCGTCATTACGACGACACCAGCAACTGACGCCGTTTCTTATGCTGCTCGTTCTGCTCGTGGTCACGTCGACGACAGCCTTAGACCACGAATTCGACATGTTCCCACCCAAATCTGGGGTCGGCATTTGGGTCGATGTGGACACCCCTCTGGATTTGCGCACCAAGGTCTCCTCCCGCGGTGAACGCTGGGACCTCGTCATGAGCGACGAGTTTGAGATCGACGGTCGATCGTTTCACGCGGGAAAGGATCATCTGTGGACCGCGTTGGACATCCCCGATGGAGTCAACGCCGCGCTGGAGCTGTACAACTCGTCCAACGTGTACACCAAGAACGGGAAGCTCGTCAACAAGGTCGAGGAAGGCACGACCATGGTCACGTACTTCAACCAATGGCTTGAGAAACCCGCCTTCGAAACCAACACATTGGTAACTAACTACCCATCCTGTCGCCTCTTCCTAACGACTCCTTTAGCACTACTCTGCTGGGATGATGCAATCGTGGAACAAGTTCTGCATGCAAGGCGGGCTCATCGAGGTATCAGCCAAGCTGCCTGGGGCCATCAACAACGTGCCGGACGCCGAGCACAAGAGCGTCACCAACAACCCGAACGCCGTCGGTGTGTTTTGGAAGGACGGGGTCAAGTCCCCGCTCACAGCTCGGGACCGGATCAAAGACGGCGCGTACTACCCGACCTGGCCCGGCATTTGGCTCATGGGAAACTTGGGGCGCGCGCTCTTCACGGCGTCCACCACGCGCATGTGGCCGTGGACATACAACGAGTGCGACGCCGACTTGGCGCCGCATCAAGTGATTTCTGCATGCAACGCCACCCCCGGCTTTGGTTTGAACCCAAACCAAGGCCGCGGCGCCCCCGAGATCGACATCCTCGAAGGTGGTGGCGCCGCCATCTCGTCGTCCATTCAGATCGCTCCGGGTATGCCCGACAACTACCGTCGCATACCCATGATCAACCCCGACAACAAGTACTGCGTATACGGCAAAGCGTGTGCCACCCCCGGCGCCAACATCCCCGACGCCCCCACGTCCACGTACGCATCCCGCGGCCATCGAAGCTGGTACCAAGGGCTCAAGTATGCTGCCAACAATCGGTGTCCGCCCACACCCATGGACATTCAAGCGTTTGAACCGGTAAGAAAGCGAGTTGGTGTCGATTTCGTGGTCATATGGCATGTATATTGAGCTTCTAGGCATGTACATTGAGATTTTCGTGGCCATTTGGCATATACATTGAGATTTTCGTGGCCATTTGGCATGGACATTGAGGTTTTCGTGGCCATTTGGAATGAATGGAGCAGTATCTATTCGATGATAAGGACGTGGTCGGGGGTATGTGTTGTATGTAGGTGCAAGCAGTGCAAATGAACCCAGAACTGCTGGTGTCAAACGTGTTTGACAAGAGTCAAATGAGTGCCGCGCGCGATGTGAATGCCGACTTGGGGCTGATCGACGGCAAAGGGCCGGGCCACTGGGGCATCAACAGCAACGGCACGTGCTTTCCCATTGCGAATGGGTACATTGGCGCGTTTTTATGCGACCCCGACTCGAAGAACCTCAAGTGCGAAGCGCCTCGCAGAGAGGGCGTGGCCGATACCAACCAAATGGCCAAGTTTGAGTACCAGATGGACGCAATTTCAGCTAATTGGGACATTGGACATGAAGCGTACACTACGTTTTACAAGTATCAAGTGGAATGGTACGACCTGTGGTTTCCAAACGGCCATGTTTCGATCACGAACTTGTGTCCAGATATCCCTTGCTCATTTATTCTACACTATTGATAACGTGGTGTTGGGGAGTAGGGTCATGGGCCCAAATGGATATGTTCGATGGAGTCTCATGGACGCACCGTTGTTTGAGATCCCGGCGTCGGCCGTGACAAGTCCCCCGCAGTCGACCACTGGAACGCCTCGAACCAACCCTAAGAAACTCATGATCGAAGAGCCGCTCTACATCATCTTCAACGTGGCTCTGGCCAAAGCGTGGGGTACGTACGTCATATACACTCGTTCATATTATGACGTGCCACGATTAGGAGCGACCCCGCCGAATGCGGACATTGGGCCGTGTCGCGGCAACGGCACCCATCCATCTCCAGGCTCGGAAGCCGCCAACAAGTCCAACAACATTTGCGACTCGTTCCCCATGTACATGGAGATCGAGTATATTAGAGTGTACCAGGACAAGAGCTCCATGTTCGTTGGATGTGACCCGCCGTCGCATCCCACCAAGAAATGGATCGATGGCCATATCAAATGGTACACGGATGCCAAGAACCCCCTGATCCGAGTGGACGGCGGCGCCACGTGTACCAACGACGACGACTGCGTGTCCGTTACCTCTTCGACGCCCAACGGTCGGTGCAACAAACGTCGATGCGAGTGCGTCGTGGGCTATGGTGGTATGTCATGCGACAATATCACGACGATAACGTCATTACTAGGCCCGCGATGCACCAAGTACGTGGGCAGCAAAACCCTCGACACGTCCAGTCCCAACTACTTTGGCCCGCAGTTCTTGTACCCGGTGATATTGGCAGCCGTCGTCGCGGCGACGGTGGCGCTGACGTGTGTGCTGCGCAAGCGTCGCATCGTCGTCGCGGCCACGGTGTCGTCTGTACGAGCCAACGAAGCGAAAGGAGAAGAAGGCACGAGCGACAACCCCCACGACAGCGTCGCCATGTTGGAATTTTTGGCCAACCCTCAGCAGAACCAGCAACATCGCCGCTTTTACGCCCCTGCCAACACTGCGGACGCTTAACAAAGTTAGCGGGAAAGCTAACGGGCTGCCTATTTAATAGCCCAAAACGTGATGTTCGAATGTTGTCATGTTGACGTTTCAAGTCGTCGCGTCAACTTGCGGCGAAGTGTGTTACTCTGGCGTAAACGGAAGGATTGCTTCTATATCGACGACATAGGGTTGTCGTCTGTACGACCTGATACAGTACACAATCGTCGTACTACCGCCGCGCCATGGTAGAGTTGACATTGAATCAAATGAATCCATAAATGGACATGCAGCTCTGTCAATTCCGAGTAGTAAGTACTACGTAGACCTCGACAGGCATCGCATTGTCACTTGTCCGGTGGTACTATATATTAACTCCACCTACCTGTACTGTACTGTACATAGTACACATCATATGTGAGGTGGGATTTGACGTGTGAATAAGCGTTGTGACAACATTTGCAGCGCATGACTTCTGGGATTAATAGCGTTCCAAGAGCAGGATTTCGTGAAAGCGTCGCGGCATCCCGTCCAACGAATACTGTAGCTTGGTATGTATGACAATGAACGTTACGATCTACATCGACGCGATCTTTGAATCCCCTGGAAGGTTGGCTGGGGCATAGTAGCGTCTCGGGGCTTCGCAAGCTAAGTCGTCGCCCTCATCTTTAATCTGCGTGTGCAGGGCCAATGCGGTGGTGAAGTTGCGTTGCCGACATCGCCACACTGACGTGAGCACGACTGCTGCCGCGACGACGCTTGTGAGGATGATCGGGTACAGGATCGGCGGGCCAAAATAGCTGCCGTTGGTCATGTTGATTGTCTTGCTGCCCAGAAATCTCGTGCATCGAGGGCCTAGTTAACACCGTCACGATTGATAACGTCACATAACGTTATCCTCCTTACCGCCATAGCCCGTGACGCAGCTACAGCGACGTTTCACGCAGCGACCACTAGGCATGGACGACGACATGGACTGGCAGTCGTCGCCCTTGTTGCATGTCGCGCCGCCGTCCACTCGGATCATGGGGTTCTTGGCATCTGTGAACCATTGGATGTGGCCATCGATCCATTTCTTGGTGGGATGAGTGGGGGGATCGCATCCAAGGAACATGGAGCTCTTCTCTTGGTACACTCTAATATACTCAATCTCCATGTACATGGGGAACGAGTCGCAAATGTTCTGCGTCTTGTTGAACTCGTAAGTGCCTGGCACGGGCTTGGAGGCGTTGCCACGACACGGCCCAATGTCGGCGTTGGGCGGGGTAGCGCCTACAAGTACAGGACAAGGTGCCACGTGTCATATATTGCATCCCAGTGTAGCATATAGTACCCCAAGCCCTTGCGACAGCAATGTTGAAGATAATGTAAAGGGGCTCTTCAATCGGCAACTTGATGGGGTTGCGTGGCTCACCAGGCCCGGCTTGGGGGGGCTTAGTCAACGTCACCGACGGAATTTCAAACAAAGGCGCGTCTTCGAGCATCCAGCGCACATACCCTGACTCGCCCAGCACCCTAGTCCTCTCATCAGTACCATTCATTCATTCGTCTTCCCGCAAACGATTAGACTTTCGTGGGTATGTAGAGCAACTTACCACTCGATTTGGTACACGTAAAACTCTGTGTACGCGTCGTGGCCAATGTCCCAGTTGGCTGAAATCGCGTCCATCTGGTACTCGAACGGATGCATCTGGTTGGTATCGGCCACGCCCTCTCTGCGAGGCGCTTCGCACTTGAGGTTCTTCGAGTCAGGATCGCACAAAAACGCGCCAATGTACCCATTCGCAATGGGAAAGCACGTGCCGTTGTAGTTGATACCCCAGTGGGCCGGCCCTTTACCGTCGATCAGCCCCAAGTCGGCGCTGGCATCCCGTCCGGCACTCACTTGCATCTTGTTGTACACGTTCGTCGTGAGCAACGCCGGGTTCATTTGCACTGCTTTCACCTATAAGTATCGATGAGTACACCACGTTTCCACCAACTTCGGACACAGTTAGACGAACTTACTGGTTCGTATTGTTGCACTTCCAAGGGATCCGTGGGGCACCGGTTGTTGGCAGCGTACTTGAGCCCTTGGTACCAGTTGCGATGGCCTCGGTAGGCGTACGCGCTCGTGGGGACATCTGGAAAGTTGGCGCCAGGGGTGTCGCACGCCTTGCCGTACACACAGTACTTGCTGTCGGGCTTTTGTATCGGCATGCGGCGGTAGTTATCTGGCATCCCCGGGGCAATCTGAATAGACGACGAAATGGCAGCTCCGCCGCCTTCGAGGATGTCGATCTCGGGGGCGCCTCGGCCTTGGTTCGGGTGCAAGCCGTAGCCAGGATTGGGGTCGCAAGCAGAGATGGCTTGATGGGGGGACAAGTCGGCGTCGCACTCGTTGTACGTCCACGGCCACATGCGCGACGTGGACGCCGAGAAGAGCGCACGGCCTAGGTTCCCGAGAAGCCAGATGCCGGGCCATGTGGGATAGTAAGCTCCGTCTTTGACACGGTCGCGAGGGGTGAGTTTGGTCTTGACGCCATCCTTCCAGAGCTCGCCGAGCGCGTTCGGATTCATGGTCGTGCTCTTGTGGACGTCGTCTGGCAGAATGTTGATGGCGCCAGGCAGCTTGGCCGCCACTTCGATGAGCCCGCCCTGCATGCAAAATTTGTTCCATGACTGCATCATGCCCGCCGCATAATACTAGAACAACAAATACGTTAATCCTCGATCTCGTCGATTGAAAAACGTACCAATGTGTTGGTTTCGATGGCTGGCACTTCGAGCCACTGGTTAAAGTACGTGACGTTCGTGTGCACTTCCTCCACGCGGTTGATCAGTTTTCCATTTTTGGTGTACACGTTGGCAGGAGAGTACAGGCCAATGGCGGCGTTCACTCCGTCGGGGATGTCTAGTGCAGTCCAAATGTGATCCTTTCCGGCTTCGAACGTCCGGCCTTCCTCTTCGAACTCGTCGCTCATCACGAGATCCCACGACTCGCCGCGGGACGACTGCTTCGATCGAGCATCCAGTGGAGTGTCCGCATCGACCCAAGCACCAATGCCACTCCTCGTAGGGTAGCCCTCAAAGTCGTAGTCGAGGGCATGTACATGCAGCAGCAACAGTGCCATTAGTACCAACACATCGTGTAGAACCATCCGGGGTTGTAATTCAAGGCGTCAACGCGCTCTACGGGATGAAGTTTATTGCGATATTTATCATGGTATCGAGCCTTTCTTTCCAATGGAAGATTAGCCGACGACGAATGGTCGTCGATTCCTGTTAGATTTGTTCGAGACGGCGCGAGCCCATCAATATATTTTACAACCATGCGCAGTGTCGATACACTTACCTTTCAGAGAGGTGTGTGGAAGTGTCCTGATATATCATTCACCTTCACTCGTTGCGATGATGAGCACGGCGGATGCCCCTTTAGCACAACATCGTAGAGTTCATTTTACTGCATCTGTCCAAGAATGATTGCGACTGGCATCCTCGACGACAGCAGACCCCACTATCGTGCCCCGTCGGCTCCAGACACAACCCAACCCATACAAGCGTCCATACGAGCCTACAGCTCGTTCCACAAGTAATTGTTGAAATACATGGCATTTCAACACTAACAATGACCTTGCCTTCACCTCTCACTACGTGCGCACACACCGACTATCACACACTCGCTGTGCGACAGTTTCTTCATGCGCCATCAACTCGCCTTGTACGATACTACTACAGTAGCGCTCTGAGCATGTCCCTGAACATGGCATTCCATGCGCACTCTTTTGCTGTGTTGTTTCAAAAATAGAAAAAATAGAAAAAAGTCACAAAAGGGGGAATTGAATTACGGACCTTCCGCATGCAGACTCACTGAGCTACAACTACTACAGTATTGGAGCTACTTCATTTGTTTAACATGACTTTCGAAAGCTACCAATCACACGTCGGTTGTTTCTTTAGGGGTTTGCAATTTGGCTAGTAATGCGAAAGCTCATAACTCGCGTTACTGTACGCAGTAGAGACTTTTAGCAAGTGCGAAATGTGAGTAGTTAGTTACTATGGAGTACTTTGTACTGCCGTAGTAAGTTGGAGCATGTTGGCGTGAGCGGAAATTGCAAGGAACCTCAAAAGAGCAATTTGATTGGCTCGAAAAGTTGTCAGATGTCTACGGACTTCGAGGCCAAAAGTGTTTCGCACCAATATTTAGCTTTACAGTTAGATGGAATTTACTGTGAATTAGCCAATAGCGTCGATTCGTCAATCGATTCGGCGGCACAACACAGTTTCCTACTTTTTCTGCGATTTTTTATGCAACACTATACCAAGAGTAGTAAATGAGATCCTTAACGTCTTTTCTAAATCGCGAAAAAAACTAGGTAAATCGATTTTGATTGGCTCATGCTATTTCTGAAAACTACTACCTCGAAGTATTACTCCATATTATTATGGAGTACTCCAGGAGTATTAATACTTGGAACAGGCACATACTGTTACTCCAGTAACAGTAACAGTATGTGCCTGTTCCAAGTATTACTGTTACTCCAGTAACAGTAAAGTCTACAGCTTCTGTCAAGATTCTACAACTTCTGGCAAGAATATACTTCGAAGTACAACTGCAATCATGCGTACAAGTGCTGTACTTAAATTTTGTATGCTTTGGAATATCAGAATCATTTTGATCGATATATCAACCTGTTACACACACATATTATTCCAGCTAGGGGTATGTGCATGGACAGTGGTCAGCGTTAGCTTCAGCACTAGCGATGCAACATAACCGGGAACAGGCATTATAAAAAAACACAAGTGGTTCAGTGGTTCAGGGGCACGCATTATATGTAAACTCAAGGGGTTTCGGGGCTCCGAGGTTACAAGGGTAACGGTACGGGGAAAAGCGCACGAAGTTGGACACTGTTTTGCCTAACTGTAAAGTCGAAATCGTCAACGATTTCAAAGATTACCTCGATGGTAACGTTAACAAGCATTCTAACGCACCGTATGTGACATGTGGATACGTTGAATTTGTAGATTCTGTAGTTGTATACGTACTAGTATAAGTTAGATTCTTGAAATCCTGTTGTGTACTGTAATTTCATTGTCTCCATTTTTACCATGCTAACACCCGCACAATAGCCCTGTAACCTCGGAACCTCGGAACCCCGATACCCCATATCCCTGTAACCCATTATTCCCTAAATCGCGATCAATACATTTAATGCTCATTCTCCGAGGTTACACTGTATGCATATCGGTGGTGGTTCGCAACCGCCAAGGAGCCTAACTCCTAAGCACCGCGTGTGAGAGAATACTATGAGTCAGAACACCACTGCCCTGAAGCATCAGGAAGGGAGGGAAAATAGCTCAGTGGTAGAGCATCGGTTTCTTAAAGCAAAATCTCGAGTTTGGCCACTTGGTCGACAATGACTTAACTCAGAGATCGTGTGTTCGATCCACCAAGTGTTACAAGAGCTTCCCACTTTAAGCCGTCCAAGTCAATGCCAACCCCCCACTTTATGTGGCTAAACCAAGAACTTCAGAATATATCACCTCAAACTCTACCGGATAAACAACGAGAATGAGACGACGGTGTGACATGATACTAATTGTAACTACAGTAACTTACCTTCAAATCGAACAAACGAAAACGACATCAAGACGACCCACACCATGGCACGACGAGGACCAAGGCTGCCGCAATTGCCGCCTTGCAAACACACACCCAATGCTCTAACCGGCGCCGACGAGGACGAGATTGCTTCGATCGAAGTGTTTGCATCGTCCATGGAAGACAAATACTTTAACGCAATGGTTGAACGTTCAAACACGAATGCACAGGACGCATGTCCAAGTGAAACCACGCAGGCGGGCAATCATGGTAACGTTAACAATTCAAAAGATTTAGATCGTTAACTGTAACAATCCTTGTTGTAATCTATCACTGTGAATATAAATGTAGACGATGATGGCATCGAACCATCAGGCGACCAAAGCGACTACTTTGAAGAATATGACGCCAATGAAATCGATGCAGATTCGGCATCGCACAGCTCAAGCAACGACGATTCACTTAGAGACATTCCAGACCAAAATAGGTATTTTGCTCGTCGTAAAAAGTATATGGCGAGTTACACTACAAAGCTGCAACAACTTCTGGCGTGTATGGCACGCTTTTTTGGCCCTGACCTGGAGGGTACAGTCTGTGCAGTACAAGGATGTTTGAGCCCTTCAGAAGCCCGATGCATGACGTGTCGAAAGGGGCACATGCCTTCGACATTCTGCTATCATCATGTTGGCCTTCATACAAGGCTAGCTACTGGTCACATTGTGAAAGGATTTGACGGTCGACTACCCCCTGTTGACAAAGTTGTCATTTGCTGCACTGGTATCAGCCGTCCAGTAATTATCAGTGTGTACACCATGGGCGGAATTGAAAAGCTATCGCTGCGGGGATGCCACGCCCACCCGGTTGGCGACCAACTTGTCGAATTGGGTCTCATGCCAAATCAATTGGAAAATCCAAGTAAGGTAATTAATTAATTCGAATTGAATTTAACATACAATATAGCCCATGCGTTTTCAATTCAATTGATGGAGTACACTATCGCGTTTCGAAGCAAAAATCAATTGGAAAATCCAAGTAAGGTAATTAATTAATTCGAATTGAATTTAACATACAATATAGCCCATGCGTTTTCAATTCAATTGATGGAGCACACTATCGCGTTTCGAAGCAAGGGCGTGGCGTATCAAACCATCTTCGACGTTTTCCTGGGCAACTTCTCGACGAACATAAAGGATGTTGCGTACCGCCAATTTATCGATGCGTCACGACAATTTGCAGCCGTGCCATACCTCTTGCGGCGTGGGGAGTTTGTTGTCAAGGCGGACGAGGCGTTCCCCAAGCCTGTTTGTCCTGCATGCACCGGGGACGGATCTACTACTGCAGGGCCAATTATAGCGGTATAATAAATTACATTGTGGCGTAGTGCTGTATACTACAGTATGTGCTGTAGACAATGGACGGATTTGCTTCGGCGAAGAAGTTATCAGCCCGCCATGGTGGTGCTGGTGACTATGGCTCATTTGGTTGGCCCGGCGGATTTTTCATGGAACCAATGCCAGA